ATGAGCTCCTGCCGTGTGCGGATCGGCTTGCCGTCCGGCCCGATGGCCTTGCGCGCCGCCTGCAGCTCCGCTATGCGGCGCCGCGAGACGCGCCTTGAGCGCCGATGTGTCCTGTGGGATCTTGAGCTGCTTGGGCTTGTCGGAGGGGGCACGTCGACCGACGTGGCCGGCGCTGCCCGAGGCTGGTGCCGCGGCGTCGTCGAACACGGGCGAGTGCGAGGGGGAGCGTTGACTGGATGCTGTGGATGCAGGCTTCTCCTCGAGGCCGGCCATGTCGAAGCTGGGCTTGCCCGTCTCTGCCTCCGAGTCGACCGTCTCGTAGCCGTCGTCTGACGGCGGTTTGGCGGCTATCTTGCTTGTGGGCTTTTGCTCCTTTGCCTTTTTCGCCGCGGTGCCCTTCTTCGTCTCGGCCTTGACTGGCTCGGTCTTGACTGGCTCGCTGGCCTCGACCAGCTCCTCCGTCGCCTTCTGGCTAGCAGCAGCAGCAGCAGCAGCAGCAGCAGCAGCCTCCTTGGCCGCCAGCTTCTTCGCCTTCTTCTCCGCCTGCCGCGCCTGCTTGGCCTTGCGGTCCGCCTTCTGGCCGTCGCGCTTCGCGAGCTTCATGAGCTGATCCTGCGTCATGTCGGCGGGGTTGGCATCGCTGACGCCGACGAGGGTATCCTGCTCAAAGTCGCGGTCGATCTTGAGCTTCTTATTCGCGATGAGGTCCCGTCTCCTGAGGCCCTGGCCGGGCGTCTCCTGCACGACGCCGGGGGCGGCGTCGTGTCGTTGTCGTTGTCGTTGTCGTTGTCGTTGTCCTGGCCCTGCTGCGTGGTGCTCGGCGCCTTGTCCTCCCCCCCCTCCGCGGCGGGCACCGGCTGGGGCAGCGCCGCCTGCTCGGCGTCCTCCATCTCCTGCAGCTTGCGCTTGTTCTTGGCGCGCTCCTCCATGACGTCCTTTGCGTTGCGGTTGCGGTCGCTGTCGGGGTCGAGCTTGCCCATGCGGGCGGCCTTTGCCTCGGCCTTGGTCTGCTTTTTGCGGTTCCACTGGTCCTGGGGGTGTGAGCGGGGTTGTTGTGATGCAGGAGGCCAAGGCTTTTTTAACAAGACTTTTTCAACAAGGGGAAGATTTCGTTGCAAGGAGGAGAGGGTGTAAAGAGGTGCAAGAGAGGAAAGAACATACAGAGGTATCCTCCCCATAGTACATCTTGGCCGGGATCAGCGACAGCAGACCGTCAAAGGCCTTTGCATGGTCGCGCAAGCGATCCTACGCAGGGCAATCAGTCAGCTCTGCTGTTCGTGCTTCGTCTTCTCTGCATCGTCTTCTCTGCATCATCCCTTTCTCCTCCATTGTGTATAGTCCTCCTCTTTCGCATGGCGGGGGGCGCAGCAGACGGCCAGCACGCAGGCAGGCCCAAGGGCAAAAAAAAAAACCAAAGACGGGGCGGGCAACGAACCTGCAGCGACGAATCCGTCATCCTGTCCCAACGGAATATCCTCTTTCTCGTCGTCTTTTTGCGAATCACACTCCTCAAGTACGTGCTGCAAAGTCGGGCAAGCAAACAGGCAGGGCAGTCACAAAAAGTGGCAAGAGGACGCTCAGGTAAAAAAGAAGGGCGGGAAGGGGAATCAGCAAAAGAGACACAGCCAGCCAGCGGGCGCCTTTCCCACTGGCTGGGATCTGCCCACCGCCCTCTTGAAATTTTCTGGCGGGTGGAGATGCGTGTGCGAACTCTTGGCGGGCTTATCTTATCGTCTCTCGTAGTGTCGGTACGGTACTCGCGAGACCCGTGACCTCAACCCTCTTCATACCTACGAGCGCAATCACATACTCTGGACTTTGGCTAGCTGGGTAGTTTGCTTTATGTTGAAAGAAGTATGTGCTTCTAATAGTTACAGGCCTGGCAAGCATGTAGTATAACGGTTCAAAATGAGCTTACCTTTGAGGAGTGACTTTTGTCATCCTGCCTAGGGGCCCAAGTACCTAGGTACCGCCGTGCCTGAGCCCCGCTACGTCCGCTGGGCGGTGTGTAATCGATCTGTGGGTCAGGGTCCAGAGAGCCTCCATGACGTGCACTCCACTTGGCGAGACCACATGCAAGAGGTCAGTCTCATCCATGGCAGTCAGACTACATGCATACAGCTCGTGGCTCGGAGCACGCCATGCTTTGGATGCTTTGGGATGTGTTGCTCTCTTCGACTTCCTATTCATGACAATGCCTTAATTACTCTATCGCACCGCCTCGAACACCTGCATGCCCAGGCGCCCAGCTCCAGCAGCCCCCAACGCCGCTCGCTACTCATAAACACAAAGCGCAGTCCAGACCAGGACCGCGCACGCCATGTCCGGCCAGAAGAATCAGTCAAAACACCCAGTGGCAGACCGGCCAGCACCATTGCCAATGTACATGAAGACGCCGCCCGCATGACGTGACGACCACCACTGCAAAAACACCCACAACACCACTGCTTGCCCCTCGGCGGCAGCCTGCCCCTCAGCGGCAGTCCGTAGAAAGCAAGCCACGATCACTCGAGTCCTCCGATAGCATCCCGCCCCATCTTCGTCATCTGGAACCGCGTGGCGACGCCCAGCGCGGCCGCGTCGGGCGCCGGCCGCATCATGCTCGCAAGTCCGTAGTCCGGCGCACTCTATGCGCCAGCCGTCCCGACCGCGAGCGACGGCGTCTGGCGGGTAAAACCACGGAGCTGCCGCTTCCCTTGGCGTTCATCTCGGCCACCCGTTGCCTCTCGGCTTTTCCCTCTCGAGCTGCTCCTTCTCCGACTTTGTGATGCGCGGCTTCCTCGTGAGCGCGCCGCCTCGAGACCCGCGACCGCCGCGGATCCCGGGCCGCCGCGAGACCCCGGCCGCCATCGAGCGTGCTGCCCTCGCCGCCCTCGCGTTGCCGCGCGAACCGCCCCGGCTGCCGCGCCCGCCGCGACTGCCACGTCCACGCTTCGGCAGTCCATCTCTGTGCATAGGTCAGCATAACAGGCCTCGTCGCCCGAAGAAGCGAAAAAGTGACGTACGGTCTCGTGGCAGGCTTCTCGGGCTCCGGCACCAGCGGTCCCGAGTAGACGAAGAAGCCGTCCCTGCTCGCGGCAGTTTGCTCTTCCCAGAGCATCTCCGAGTCGTCCACAAAGTCGTCCTCCTTGTCGTACT